ATTCATTTTAATAAACATCCACTAAGTATCTACTACATGTGAGACTTTGTGTTAAGCACTGGAGGTACAAAGGCAAAAAAAAAAATTAGCAAGTCACAGCCTTTAGGTGTTTACTTTCCATGGGGTGAATTGGATTCTATCACTTAAAATGGCTATACTCAAATTGTCTTCCTGACTACAACCTCTTTACCTTCTACTTTTATAAGGAAGATAACATATTACAGTAAAAAAAGTGTCAGTCCCAGGCCTTGGAAGAGCTCAAAAAGGATTTCAAGAAGTAAGTAAGAGAAGTAGAGGAAAAGTTGGGAAGAGAAATAAGAGTGATGCAAGAAAATCATGAAAAACAAGTCAACAGCTTGCTAAAGGAGACCCAAAAAAATACTGAAGAAAATAACACCTTAAAAAATAGGCTAACCCAAATGGCAAAAGAGGTCCAAAAAGCCAATGAGGAGAAGAATGCTCTACAAAGAAAAATCGGCCAAATGAAAAGGAAGTCCAAACGCTTACTGAAGAAAATACTTCCTTAAAAATTAGAATAGAGCAATTGGTAGCTAGTGACTTTATGAGAAATCAAGACACTGTAAAACAAATCCAAATGAATGAAAAATTAGAAAACAATGTGAAATATCACATTGGAAAAACAACTGACCTGGAAAATAGGTCCAGAAGAGATAATTTAAAAATTATTGGGCTATCTGAAAGCCATGATCAAAAAAAGAGCCTAGATATCATGTTTCAAGAAATTATCAAGTAAAACTGCCTGGATATTTTAGAACCAGAGGACAAAAAAGAATCCACCAATCTCCTCCTGAAAGAGATCCCCAAAGGAAAACCCCTAGGAATATTGTAGCCAAATTCCAGAGTTCCGGGTCAAGGAGAAAATATTACAAGCAGCCAGAAAGAAACAATTCAAGTATAGTGGAAACACAATCAGGATAACACAAGATTTAGCAGCTTCTATATTAAGGGACTGCATTCTATCATATAGAATATAATATTCCAGAGGGCAAAGGAGATAGGATTAAAACCAAGAATCACCTACCCAGCAAAACTGAGTATAATTCTTCAGGGGAAAAAATGGTCAGTCAGTGAAATAGAGGACTTTCAAGCATTCTTGATGAAAAGATGAGAGCTGAATAGAAAATCTGACTTTCAAATACAAGACTCAAGTGGAACATGAAGAGGTAAACAGGAAAGAGAAATCATAAGAGACTTATTAAGGTTGAACTGTTTACATTCCTGCATGGAAAGATGATATTTATAACTCATGAGACCTCTGCCAGTATTAGGGTAGTGGGAAGGGAAAAATTATGTGTAGGTATAGATAGATAGATAGATAGATAGATAGATAGATAGATAGATAGATAGATAGATAGATGATGGATGGATGGATGGATAGATAGATAGATAGATAGATGGCACAGGGTGAGTTGAAGATGAAGGGGTTGTATCTGGAAAATAAAAATAAGGGGTGAGAGAGGATTATACGGGGAGAAGGAGAAAGGGAGAGGCAGAGTGGAGTAAATTATCTCACAAAAGAACAGAAAAGAAAAGGGTCTTACAGTAGAGGGGAAATAGAGGAAGGAGAAAGGGAATGAGTGAATTTTAATTTCATAGTATTTGGCTTAAGGAGGGAATAACATACACACTCAATTGGGTATGGAAAGCTGTCTTACCCTACAGGAAAATAGGGGGAGAAGGGGACAAGAGAGCAGGGGAATGACAGTGGGGAGGGCAGATTGGGAAAGGGGGTAATCAGAAGCAAACACTTCTGAGGCGGAACAGGGTCAAAAGAAAGAATAGAATAAATGGGGGGGCAGGATAGGATTAAGGGAAAGTAGAGTTAGTTTTTCACAACATGACTACTATGGAAGTGTTTTGCATAACTGCACATGTATAACCTATATTGAGTTGCTTGCCTTTTCAATGAGGGTGGGTGGGGAGGGAGGAAGGGAGAAAATTTGGAACCCAAAGTTTTAAAAACACATATTTAAAAAAATGTTTTCACATGCAGCTGGGAAATAAGAAATACAGGAAATGGGGTACAGAAATCTATCCTGCCCTACAGGAAAGGGGAAGGGGATAAGAGAAGGGGGGGAGAGATAGAAGGGAGGGCAGACTTGGAATATTCAGAATGCATACCATCTTGGGGGGGGAGGGGTAAGATGGGGTGAAAATTTGGGACTCAAAATCTTGTGGAAGCAAATGTTGAAAACTAAAAATAAATAAATTTTAAAAGAAAAAATTTTAAAAAAATTAAAAATTAAAAAAAATTTTAAAATGCTAGATTTGGATTCAGGGACCTGGGTTTAAATCTGTACTCTTGCACCAGTACTACCTGTGTGACTTTGGATGAGTAAGGAGCCTCAATTTCCTCAAATGTGAAATTAGGGGGTTGGACTAAATGACCTCAAAGTTCTGATACTATGACCCTTCCTTTCTACCATACTTGTTCTTTCTCCTTACTGGGATCTCTATCCCCTTAAATCATCCCTAATCTCTCATTCTACTACCCTGGTTCTCTGTTTATTTGATTCCCTATCCAGTCTGAAACCATTAACCATTTCAAAGATGCACTGGCTATTGTCCTAGGATCCTTAAATCTCTGTGATTCTTACCCATCTTATACTCCTATCCTCTTGCTTTTTCAAAAGAAGCATCCTTCTCCTTTGTTAAAGATAACTAATAATAAGAGTTAGCATTTATATAGCGCTTTAAGATATGCAAAATTATTTACAAATATTATCTCACAAGAATATAATCTCCACAACAACCCAGGGAACTAGATGCTATTATCATCCCTATTTTATAGATAAGGAAACTAAGTGAATTGCTCGGGCACATAGCTGGTAAACATCCAAGGCTGGATTAGAACTCAGGTCTTTCTGACTTCAGGTCCAGCACTCTATGTACTATGCCACTTATCTGCCTAGATGTTGCCCAACTGTGCTTACACATGTTCTTGATTTCATCCCTTTTCAATTCCTAGAGACCCTGTTTCATTAATTTTTCCTCCTCTTTTTTTTGCATGTTCAGTCTCTCTTTTTCCACTGTCTCCTTCCCTTCTGCCTTCAAATATCATCATTTTGTGTCTGCTAAGCTCTTCTCTCTATCTTTTTACAGATGACTTTCTTGAGAGAATAGTCTTACTGCTTCTTTCTCAAAACCTACTCACTCTTTAACTCTGTTCGAATCTCTCTTATTCATTATCACTACTTAATCACTCCACTAAAGATGTTTCCTTTCAGGTCTTACATGGCTTCCATCCCTCACCAATAGAAAGACCTCATGACTTTTTCTTGGTTCATATCTTACTGAACCTCAGCACAGCACCTAACACTACTGATCAACCCTCCTCCCTGAAGCTATTGTGGAATAAAAATTAACATTAAATCTGGTTTCTGCTGTATTTATTTTACATGTAATTGATGTTATGATGATTGATTTTTATAATTGTTAGTATCTGTCTGAACTCCCGTGGCTCAAAAATGTTGTCTTTCCTAGTATAAATGTGTTTAAAGGTGTGGTTGAAAGGAAATGTTGTTACCACTCCTATACTATCCCCTGGGACATTTGCTTGCTGTCTGAAAGCCTCAACCAGCTTAACCTGGTGCCGTCCTCTCAAAAGAGAAATCCTTGCCTGTCCTAGTGCAAATAAGAGTGGTTTTGATCTCCCTCAAGAGGACTCACTGGGTGGTTCTGATTTTCTAGCCAAGATTACAGGAGGAAGATGAGTACCACAAAACAATTAATCTTCCTTAATTGTCAGAGAAGGGTGTGATCAGCCACATCCAGATGTCAACCCACTTTCCCCAGTGTAGTAAATTATAAGGTTCCCCAACTACCTAGACCTGCTCATTTCCTGTAATAAAAAAGTCCTTCCCCCTTCAAATGGGGTTCACCAGCTTTACTGAGGTGGCCAGTCTGACCCACTTTGTTAATAGCTATATGCCTCACTGTTAATAAATTGATTATGCTCAGAGAATGTACCTCAGTTTATCTTTATTGCATTGTTTTCCACAGTATCTGATTCTTCATCAGATTCCATGGCATTGCCCTTTCCTGGTTCTCCTCCTAACTCTCAGACCATTTCACTTCCATAATTAGATTCTCTTCCTGATCTTTAAATATAGTTTTTCTACAAGGTACTATCCTGAACTCGCCTGTTCTTTTCTCTCCTCTTGGGTTATTTCATTTATTTCCATAGCTTCTACTCTCACCTTCACGTGGATGTCTTTCCTTATTTGCCAAAAGTACAAGCAGGTTGGACTAGATGGTTTCTAAGGTCTCTCAGAAATTGTAGATCTATGATTACAAAATCTCTATCTCCAGCCTTAACCCTTTCTCTCTCTCTTTTTTTGTTTAAAAGGAGATTTTGGCCAAATGTTATTTCCTAGCAATTAGAAGTAACTCAAAGTGAAATGAGATGCCTCAGAAGGTTGACATTCCCAAAAGTCTTCAAGTGGAGGCCAGATGATCATTTCTTGGGATGTTGATAGAGGGCATATTTTCTGAGGTATGGGGTAGATGACAACTGAGGTCCCTTCCACCTCTGATCATCTGTAATTTTATAACCTTCAATAAATAAGAAACTCACTATCTTAACAAGAAGTTCAACTGTAATTGTTAAGAAAATTCTTTTTTATATGGATCCATACTCTACTCCTCTATAAAGTCTCCCCATTAGGTTCTAGTGATGGAGCAGTAACAAAGTATAATACCTTGTCCCCATGATAATAACCCTTCAATTATTTTAAGATAGCTCTCATGCCCTGACTCCTATTTTTTCTTCTCCAGGCCTCACATCCCTAGTTCTTTTAATTGTACTCTACCTCCTATATGATATGAGACTTCATAATTCTTTCTGCTCTTTTCCAAATGGACCCCAGTTGATCAGTGATCTTCTTAAAATGACCCACATTGGTCCAGTGGCATCAGTTTAATTCATAATTCAACATTTAATGCCTCATTGCATGACTAGCCCAGTTAGTCCTGCTTACCTTGGGCTGGAGCACAAACCACTCATCACTTGGATTATCAAAGTTCCATGAATCAAAAGGAATTTCCACCTCGCCAAGGAAGCTGTTCCGCCCAAATCGGTCATAATGCCAGACAGAAAGCTGAAGGGTTCTTGTTTCCAGTTGAGTGTGGCTAATGGTATACTAGAATATAACACAAACAAATATGTTCATTAATGGAGGTCTTTCTCAGTTGTTAAGAACAGATTGGGATTCAGTTCACCTACTCCTTTATTGAACCACTTTCATCAGCAACAGAAATACTGAACAGTAAAGAACTCATTATCTTTGTTATCCTCCAACCACTGAAGGAAAAAAATAAATCCATTTTTTTTTTGTATTTCTCCTAGCACAGAGAAAAAATAGATATACACACAGGTATGTATATGCATATACATATATAGTGTATATATGCATATATACACTATATATGTGTGGATAGATAGATAGATAGATAGATAGATAGATAGATAGATAGATAGATAGATAAATTCTTTTTGAAGACAATTCCAATTAGGGTTTATAGGAGACAGAAAGATTTTTTTTAAATTTTTTGTCATTTTATAATTTTTGTCTATTTTTCATTAGCCTCTGTTTGATTATTTCTTGGAAAGATTCTTTTCAAAGTTTAGCTTTAAACAAGAATTATCTATTTTGCAGCTGTTGTTTTATATCTAAAAGAATAGGATTTTTTCAATTGGAAGGGACTTTGCAGTTCCTCTATTCCAACTTGTTCATTTTTAACAGAGGGAAAAACCAAGACCCAGAGGAGTTAAGTGAAATACTCCATCTAGGTCCATACAATGAATTTGCAGCAGAGCCAAATTCACGCACAGGTTCTCCATTGATTAGTCTTGTGCTCTTGCCACTATGCCATAGTGACTTCAATAGATTCCAATGAATTATAAGGTACTCTATTAATATATTTATTAATATTGCAGCATGGATAGTGATAGAGTACTTGACTTGAATTCAGAAAGACCTGAGTTCAAATTCTACCCTGGGATCCTTACTAGCTGCAGAACCCTGGGCAAGTCACTTAAACAAGGGGGTTGGACTCAGTGACATCTACCATCCCTTCTAGTTTTAAATCTGTGATCCTATGAAATCCAGAAAACAGCCTACAGAGATATAATCAGCAGTCAAGACTTCAGTCTTCCAAGACAAACTTCCTGAGACTTCTACCTTTTTTGTTTTTTTCTTAAAGGACTCATCCACTCTCTAGGTCTTTGACTTAGCCTTGTTATGGTTGGATAGGCCCACTGTTGAATAGGAATTATATTCTTCTTATGTACTTTTCATATTATAATTTCTACTATGTTTATTCACATATTTGACCTTATCCTTACTATATCATAAGGTCTTTGAGGGCATAAGCTGGGTCTTATATATTTTAGTGTTTATCTCAGAAGATAGCAATTTTCTCCTCTTTTTAAGAGAGAGAGAGAGAGAGAGGAGAGAGAGAGAGAGAGAGAGAGAGAGAGAGTTATGCTTCTTTCCCCAGGTTACTTCCCCTAGAACTTTCACATCCATCCATAAATCTTAATGTATTGGATTATTCCCTATCCATCTTCCTAAACTTAGCTCCATTTAAATCCTGTGAATAGTAAATAATCACACTGTCCAAGTACCATAATCACCTTATACAGGATGAGACGTCAAGTCCATAGCAAAACTATGACTAGATCCAGAAAACTACTGTACCAATTCTTTGACAAAGTTATTTTGAAAAGACCCAGGAACCTATTATATCCCCAAGAATAACAATTCTCACTACAACAAAAATCTGTTGGGTTGCCATTACTTAAAACCCAACTGCAAAGTCAACAGTAGTAAAATCATAAGAGTAAAAGTGACTTTACTTTGGGATTTAATTTAATTTGGGATACCTTTGGAATGCCCTTGGTGACAGGAGAACAAAGATCTTCACAAATTCAAATGCATCAAAATCTACTATTTTGTCAGATAAAAATATTTCTAATTAGTAAAAACTTTCAGCCATTTACAAACAGTATGCAGTTGTAAACTAACTCAGGAATGTGTCGTGCATTATTAATTTGAAAGAGCTCTCACCTTTAGAATCTCATTAAATTCTGGATTGGTGCCTGTTCTGATTTTGGTCTTGCGTTTATTGTTTCGTGATTTGTCAGGAAGAAGGTATGATTTCACATAGCTGTAGATGATAAAAATGAAGCTGGTGATTGGAAACATAAAACAATTCTCTCCCCACTCCAATCCATCCTCCATTAAGCCACTAAAGTGATTTTCCTCAAGTGAAGGTCTGACTATGTTATCCCCTCATTCAATTAACTCCAGTGGCTCCCTATTGCCTCCAGGATTGAATACAAAATCCTCTCCTTGGCATTCAAAACCTTTATAACTTAGCTTCCCCTACCTTTCCAGTTTTCTTATGCTTTACTTCCTGCCATGTACTATTTCATCCAGTGAGATTGGCATCCTTCCTGCTTTATGAACAAGACACTCTATCTCTAGGCTCTAAGCAATTTCTTTGGCTGACCTCCATATCTGCAATGTTCTCCTTCCTCATTTCCACTGGCTTCCCTAGCTTCCTTTAAGTATCTATTAAAATCCCACCTTTTATTGGAAGCCTTTTCCAACCCCTCTAAATTCTAGGGCCTTCCCTCTCAATTATTTCCTATTCATCCCATCTACAACTTGTTTGTACAGAATTATTTGTTGTCTTTCCCATTAGATTGTAAACTCGAGGAAAGGGACTGACTTTTGCCTCTTTTTGTATTCCCAACACTTAGCATAGTGCCTAGCATATAATAGGCACTTAATAAATGTTTATTAATTGATTGATTGGTTGAAAATACACCTTCCCAAAAAAGTCATGGATTTATATGAGCAAATAAAAGATGAGGGGAGAGAATAGGTTAAGAAGAGAAAAAGTCAGGCTAAGGTACATAGTATACAGTTTATATTTGACTTCAACATGTTGTCCAGAGGTCATTTGTGGTCCTACAAAGATTCCTGGTGATTGTCATTATATCCCTACACTCTTATTCTGCTTCGGATGGCCTCCTTACCTGCCATAAAATTGTGTTGGAGAATTGAGTCAGTGATAATGAGTAGGGTAAGAAGAGACAGAAATCAAGAAATGACAACCTCTAGGAATAACAGCACTTACTTTGAATATGGATCAACAATAACCTTGGGAGATAGTTAACAAATCCCAGAGAGTGAGGGAACAGATCAACAGAATGGACTAGGGAGGAAGGTACAAAATACTATATAACTCATGGATGGATATATTGGACCCTCAATAACCATATCCAGGCTAGTCTCAAATATTTATGTTGGTCCTGGAGACTCCTGGGATCCGATCAAATTGTATTCTTTCTCCTCTAAATAAATTCCATACTCTTCATCTACCTATCTTTTCTTGAACTGCTCCTTATGCTTGTCATTGTCTGATCACCTCCTTCCCTACCCCTCCTCCTCTCTCCCTAGTGACATCCTAGCCAGCTTACGCACTTGCTATTCCAGGAAGTTTTTCCTGATGTTCCTAGCCACCTGTGTCCTCTCACTTAATACAATGAATTTTTGCTCCCATTACACATGTCATATTATAATGTCTACTGTATTTATTTGTGGAAATGTTTTTTTAATCACCTTGGGGGCAGGGACTGTGTTTTCTTTATCTTTATGCCTTCCCAGTGCCTAATATAATATTCTGCATATAGCAGGCATTTAATGTTTGTTGAATGAATGAAACCAATTTGTTCTTAGAGTACACTAATTTCAATAAGCATTTATTAGGCATCTATTATACACAAGACCTGATGCTAGATGCTACAGATATAGATATCTTTGTATCACCTTGATTAGCATACCACTTGGCACAAAGAAGGAGAATAATGAATGTTTATTGTTCAATAGTCGATAAACATTTATTAAGTGCATACTATATGCCAGGCACTGTGCTAAGCACTACAGATACAAAGAAAGGCAAAAGACAGTCCTAGATGTTGAGGAGCTCACCTCTAATGGAGGAGACAACATGCAAACAGCAATGTGGGAAGAAGTTGTATACAGGATAAATTGGAGATAAGCAATAGAAGGAAGACACCAATTTATAAAGGAGATAACACTTTAGTTAAGTCTTGAAGGGAAAAAGATTCCTAGGTGTGAAAGTGAGAAGGGGGAGTATCTGAATCATGGCCAACAATCTGGGCCAAAGAATGGAAATGGGGAATGGAATGAGGAGTATGTGGATAGGGAGTAGGCCATATTGGCTAGATATTGAGTATATGGGTGGGAGGCAGCATAGGAAAGATGGGTTGGAACAGGACTGAGAAGGCCTTTTAATGTGAAACAGAAGAGTTTGCGTCTTCCCCTAGGGGCAATAAGGAGGGGTCACTGAAGCTTCTTGAGCCCTAGAGCAACATGGTAATAACATCTTTGTGATTAGATAGATAACTAGTGGAGACCTTGACAAAAATAAGGGGACTTCAGAGGAGGGGTGGGTTTAGGAGGTAAGAGAATAAGTTTTGTTTTGGACATACTGAGTTTAACAGAACTATTTGATAGGCAGCTAGGTTGTGCAGTAGACACCTAGAGTCAGGAACACAAGTTCAAAACCCACTTCAGACCTTTACTGACTGTATGACCTTGGGCAAATCATTTATCCTCTGTCTGCCTTGATTATATAATAGCACTTATTTCCCAAGGTTGCTGTGAAGATAAAATAATATTTGTATAAAGTGCTTTGTAAAGTGCTATAGCGTTCTCACAGTGCTATATAAATGATGCTATTATTTTGTGATTATTATTATTATTACTATTACATAAATTCTAGATATTATTAAATGCTAGTTAGTCATTGGAATCCAGATAGAGATGTTCAGTAGGTGCTGACTAAGTGGGACTTGTGTGGAGAAGAGGTATAAGGGCTTGATATGTAGATTTGGTAATTGTTTGCATAGATAAGTGAATCCACCAGAAATGCTGAGACCACTAAGAGAATATGTGGATTGGAGAGACTACCTAGAACAAAGCCCTGGGCTACACCCATGCCTTGGGGTGGGGATGGATCTAGTAAATGAGAACCAGGAAAGAGCAATGTCATGAAAACTCAGAAAGTATCCAGGAGGAGGGAGTCAAAGGCAGTGTCAAAAGCTGCAAAGAAGTTAAGAAGGTTGAGGACTGAGAAATGGTTATTGGACTTAGCAATAAAGAGAGCATTGGTAACCTTGGAAAATGAAGCTTCAGTTGAGTGATGGGGTTGGAATCTAGATTACATGGGCTGGATAATGAGTGATAGGTGATGAGTACATAGATACACTGAGTATGTGATGGCTTTTTTATAGGAGTTTGGTTGGGAAGGAAAGAAGAGAAATGGGATGATGGGGGGATTGAGGGAATGGAAGCTTCAACTGAAAGTTTTTTTAAAAAATTGGGGAGATCTGGGCATGTTTGTAGGCATTAGAGATAGAGGAACTCTAGAGACAGAGGACAACGGTTGAAGGTTTAAGTTCCTAGAGGAGATTGAAGAGGATAGAATTAAGGACACAAATAGAGGCGTTGGTCTTTGTAAGGATAAGGATCACTTCTCTAATCCTAAAACTTCACCTGAGGCTGGAACAAAGGAGGAGAGAATTAGAGATGAAACTGAGGGAATCTCAGGTGAAGAACTGAGGTATTCCAGTAGATCAGGACAGTTGGCCTCCATTTTCTTGGTAAAGTATGAGGTAAGGTCCTTTGCCAAGAAAAAGGAGGCATGGGGGTAGTGTCGTAGCTTAAGGGGAGAAGAGAAAGTTTTGAACATTTTCTTTAGGGACTGTGATAGTCAATCAGGGAGGAAGAAAATGATTGTCATATAGTAGTAGTTAGGGACCATTTGAGATTAGATCCTTCCCTTTACCATGAAAATCCTTGACTTCCTGGTCCGGATTGTTTACTGAACTTGGGATCTGATTATACTTACTCTTTCCTCTTGGTCCGCAATTATATTCCATGACTCATTCTTGAGGTCGTGACAATTTCATAACTGACCTAGGCTTTGGGTCTTGGGCTGATCAAACAGCCTGGTAATTTTCTTTTTGACATTTTCCAGAAGAGAAATGAAGATTCTTTTTTTTTTTTAATCCCTTGGAGTATGCATGAGTGTAGGGTCCCTGTTTCATAGAACTGACCCTATTTATGGGTACTGATAACCTACAAGACGTATCTCCAAAACATTCTGTGTGATGATGACATCAATGTAACCAAGGAAGCATGAGCAGCAGGTATTTAGAAATGTAACAGAAGAATAGGGTGATATATAACTGTAGAATCTAATTTGAAAAGACAGGCATACTCAAATTTCTCCTCTTCACAAAATAAGTTATTTGGACTAGACAAAGGAACATGCTGTCTGCTTACGCATCTGTTCTCTGTTTCTTTTCATCTGCTATGGCTAGATTTCTGCAATTCTTTACAAAAATGTGGAGCCCGCCAGTTTTGTAGCAGTAGCTGATGTGCAGAAGGATTTCGCCGCTGACCTTCACGTTGCCATAGTCCCCTGTTTCACTATAAACACTCGTCATGCTGTTAAGGCTGGTCTGGAATAAACAAGATAAAAAGAGAAGTCCAGTGGTGCTCTAATGATCTCTTTGCAGAAACAAGTTTTTTTCTCCTTAATTCAATTACAATCCCTCTTCATTTCAGTGTGCAGACCAGCCCACAGTAATGGGCAGAAAAGTAGAATCAGCTGCTTGTTTTGCCTGTGTTACTTCATATCAAAGTAGGAAAAAGGATCTAATCTCATCAGTGTGAGGCAATAAACTTAATTACTATGGGGAGAATAATTCACTTTTGGGTTAGGGGTTGGGTGTGGGATACCATTCAACTTTTCCACCAACATTCATGTTCTCTTGACAACCAGAAAGAGTAAGGCACATTCCCAAGTGAGTATCCTACTTTATTCTCATGATTGGTCTCCGCATCAAGCAACTCAATACTACTCCTTGACTGGATATGGGAGGCAAGATCAACAAAAAGGTGGTCTGAGCATCCTCACGTATGCTCTGTTGGTCTCTACCCATCCATAGAGGCCCACCACTGAACTGCAGCAAGCTTTAGAGGGGTGGATCCAGAAAGCAGACAGTCACTACACAACTGCAAATGATTTGTAAAAATTTTTTGCTCAGAAGCCAAGTAGCCAAAGATTTCTCTAAGGCCATGCTTTCAAACTTTTTCAGCCCACAGATCATTTCAGAAAGATCAAAGAAAGTGTGGACCATACACCCTGATTCACTGTGAAAAAATACAAATAATAATGAACCCCCCCTCTAAATAATCCTTCTTTGTACCCTTTCTCCCCAGTGCCCCAGTTCTACCAAAATTAATGGAATGGATGACATAGTTTTTGCTGAGACATTAATGAGGCAAAGACTGCACTTTATTAAATATAATTAAATGTTTAGTTTATGCCATAAACTGAAAAAAGTGCTATTATATTATCAATATGATAGTATAAGATAGTATAAGTATAGGAATCACTTGAATGTAGATGGTGAGTGTAGAGTACTAGACTTGGGAGCAAGAAAGACATATGAATCTTGCTTTAGAGTCTTACTAGCTGTCTGACCCTGGGCAAGTCACTCATCTGACCCCTTCCAGCCTTAGTTTCCTCATCTGTCAAATAATGATAATGATAGCACTAACCAAGGTTAGAGAAGGGAGCCTGTCTCCTCTTTGCAATAGCTTTTCAGTGCTTAGAAGGATAGCAGGCTTTATTCAAAGGATTTTATAATTTCATAATCATTTAGGAATTACATCTCAATCTGGGTAAAAGAAGGGGATTCCATGATTATAAAGTCAGTGATTAAGAGCTAGAAAGGACCACAGAGGTCATCCTGTCCAACTTTAACAGATGAAGAAACTGGGGCCAAGTGAAGGACCAGGGGCTTGCACAGGGTTCTGTAGCTGCTTAGTATGAGTGTGAATAGTAGAACCCAGATCCCCTAATTTCTAGAGTCCTTTCCACTATTCTATTCTGCCTCTTGGGGTTACACAATATAGGATCACAGAACCTCTGAGTTGGAAACAATTTCAGAGAATATTCTAAAAATCTCCATGCGTAGCATGCAGTTTCCAATTGAAAGAGTATAGAGATGGTACATTCCTACATGCTTTCTGAGGCAGTCCATTCGCCCTCTAATTGTTAGTAAGTTGTGCCAATCATATCCGTTTGTAAACAAAGAGCCCTACCAATTCTGAAGGACTCCAAGGAAGTAATTCAATTTGGGAGACCAAACCAGTCTCAGCTATATGAGGACGTGCCAACTTTCTCCTCTTAACTAGGCCAAACAGACAATACTCAAATCTCTTATGATACTGATTAATTTAAAAGTAACTCTCTGAATCATTTGTCTGTTGTCTGGTACATAAGTTTTCAATCACCTGATGAAGATTGTCCTTGGACATAGGGTGATCACTTTAAGATTGGCCTTTAATTAAAAAACAAAACAAAACATAATACACCCTCTAGTTAGCTTAGTTAACAAAAAAAAAATATTCAAAGGACAGTTTACAAATTCTGCATTTCTCCCCCACACCCCACCCCATACATCCTCTAAGTGTGTTAGAAATGTAGCTGAGAAGGAAGAAAGAAGCAAAAGAAAAGCTAGAGGACTCACAGTATCAGAATCCACATCAGGAACATTTAAGTAGGTCCATTTCTTATCAGAGCCTGCTTGAGAGTTCTTTCAAAGGTTTGTGCAAAAGTCAAGAAAAAGAGGCATTAGAACAAGAAAAAAGACATAGCAGAGCAAAGGAAAAGCCATGAGGAAGCACAAGCTGGAAACCCTTACTGAGCAATTGAACTATGGCCCTCTTCTTAGGATGAATTAATTAGCAAATGTTTCCAGTTAATTTCTCTACCATGAGGAGGGAGAGAATTCTCAGCACTTTCTGGGAGCTCATGTATTTCTGCTCAGTAAAGATCTCTTAGACGAAAGACAAATATGTTTTGTTTTAAACAGAGCAGATATTAGACAGTAGATAAAACACAGGAAATCACCAAAGAGATAAATTGAAAGGACTCATTACATTACAAAAAGAATCAATATAAGCCATCCTTAAATAGTAAGCCTTCCCCCCCACATTTCCATTTAAAATATGACATAAATGAGCAATTTTCAAGTGACTTATTAGGGAAAAAAAATTAAGGCACATCTGTGTTTCCAAATGCAGGTCAAAGCTGCAAAAAGAAAGCCATTTCAACATTCCAGCATCCTTAAGATGCAATTCTCCATTTCTGAAAAGCCTAATAACAATACAAACGCAGCTGAAGTTGTACTATTAACAACTGATAATAGTGAAATAGTTAAAGCAAATTAAATGTTTTATTAACACCATTTGATAACTTTCTTCTTCTTCAAGGATAACTAATGGAAAAATCATGTGGTTTTTACAGATAATGCATTCACCACTAAAATATAATGAGGTGGAGTTATAGGTACAAAGATTACAAGTGAAAAATATTTGTTAAATGAATAATGAATGGTCTTTGCTAGTCAACCACAGAGCTAAGGAAACAGATATTCTTGTATTATTAATGACATATAGGAAGAAATGATTATCTTATTTGTATAATCACTCATATATTTTAATAAAATATTCTCATTTAAAATTGATTAAGGCAAAGTCTACTCAAGGCATACTCCAATGTCAATTTAACCCATGCTGGCTCTATCAAAAAGTAGAAATGACTAGAACCTACTGAGTAGCTTCACTTTTCAAAGCACTTATCTATTTTCTTATTTTCATTCATGTATCAGCCTGATAAGACAGGATGGGCTCTATTCAATTCAATTTTAAAAAGTATAGAGTAAGCCCCTACTGTGTGCAAGGTACTGTGCATAAAGAAATGAAAAATGAAAAAGGCTCTACCCTAAAGGGGATTATAGTCTACTTGCAGGAAATATCTTGTACCAAGATGGAGAAATATAAAAGATACTCTAAGTAAATACAAAGTAATATTGTTGGATAAACACTGACAACTGGGGAAATCAGAAGATGCTTCAGGCTGGAGATGCCGCTTAAGTTGTGCCTGGAAGGGAGCTGGGGATTCTAGGAGGCAGCCGTGAGGAGATGACAGATGGATCATCATGTGAGAGGAACAGCAAGAAGGTCAATGGGGGGAATGCAGAGTTCATGATGTGGATTAATGTAAACTAAGTCTAGAAGATTTTCTAGAGAAAATAAGAAGTTACTGAAACTTCTCGAACAGGGGAGTGATGTGATCATGCCTGTGCTTATCAGTTTTCTAGCAGCACAAAGGATGGATTGGAGAGGTGAGAGACGGGAGGCAGGAAGACTTTCCTTTCAACTGTATGACTATGAAGAGGTGATCTTTTACAGAAAAGCATTTGCAAAGCTCCCCACCCCAGTTTCTCCTTATTTCCTTGTCATATTTTCATCCAGGAACTTCTCCATATATAGGCAATTCTCATTTGATTTTATAGAAGTGAGAAAGTAGGCATATTGTAACAGTTCAGGTGAGAGATGATGAGTGATTGAATTAGGGTGGTAACCACATGAGTTAAGAGAAGGGGATGGAACAACATCATAAATAAATCAATTCAACAAACTTAAAAAGGTGAAATGGACTCTTTTTAACATGGAAAAAAATGATTGGTATTGAGATGGGAAGCGGGTCAGAAACATTTGTCTGTGTATAGTCAGACCATGGAGTGCACAGATGAAAGGTTAAAATCAAGATTAAAATTAGGAAAAAAGGATAAAGATGAGAACACAACATGTGTAATTTTAAGAAATCTAATCCAACCTATTTAAAAAGCTTTAACCTGGAAATACATGAAATTGATTAAGGTAGAGTTATCATTTTTAAAAGAAAATTATTGACTATAAGCAGTCATCATAGCAAAGAGGACTAAATATCTTCCAAACTACTTCAAGTCAACAAACACTTGCTCTCCTTGCCATGTGAAGAGACAGGGCATCTAGCCATGGGCAATACTGGTTTAAAGAAGGAGCTCTTAGCTTAGGGCCTGTGAGCTTTAAAATAGACAGTTTTGTTTCAATATAATTGGTTTCCTTCCCCTTATTCTCGGTATTTTATTTTGTGCATTTAAAAACATTCTGAGAAGCAGTTATAGGTTTCACTAGACTGCCAAATGACACACAACAAGTTAAGAACCTCTGATTTGGAAGGTAAAACCATTTTCAAAATATTATGGTAGAGAATGATAGATTATGAGCAGGATTGTCCACATAACAATAAAAGCAGTAGAGGGGGGAAATGAGCCCGCAGAATCTTTGGAACAAGGCCCAACCAAGGCACCTCCTCTCAGGAGCAGTGGGGAACTACTGGTAGAGGTTGAGGCACATATTTACAGACATGGTCAATGTGTTGACTTGTTTTGCTTAACTGCATTTCTTACAGAAAGGGAGGGTTGGGGGAGGATGAATCATTGGGAACTGACACAATGTGATTTTTTAAAAAAATAACATTAATAAAATGTTTTTAAAAAGAAAACAAATTTGCAAACTACCCCCTAAAAACAAAAGAACAAAATGAATTTTTTAAACACTAGTATTCTCCTTGCATTATTATATGAATATTAATCATAGAATGCTATTATTTCCAAAGAATTAAAATTACAGGTAAACCAAAATCAGTAAGTCAGACAGTCAATAAACTAAGCACCTACTATGTGCCAGGTATTGTGCTAAGCACAAAAGGCAAAAGACAGTCTTTGCCCCCCAGGAGCTCACAACCTAAAAGGGCAGACAACATGCAAACAGATACATTCAAAACAAGCTATATATAGGATTAATTGGAAATAATTAACAGAGAGAAGACACTAGAATTAAGAAGGGTTAGAAAAGGCTTCCTAGAAGATGGGATTTTAGCCAGGAATTGAAGGAAGCCAGAGAAGCCAGTAGGCAGAGTTGAGGAGATAGAGCATTCCAGGCATGGGGGACAGCGGAGAAAATGCCTGGAACTAAAAGATATAGTATCTTGTTTGGAGAACAGCCAGGAGGCCAGTGTCACAGTATCAAAGAGTATGCCTTTGAAGTAAGGTATAGGAAAGGTAGGAGAGGGCTGAAAGTTATGAAAGGTTTTGAATGTCAAATAGAGGATTTTTTATATCTTACTAGGGGCAGTTGGAAGCCATTGGGGTTTATTGAGAAGGGTGACATGGTTGGACCTGTACTTTAGGAAAATCACTTTGGTGGCTAAATGGAGAATGGACAGGCCGACCCACTAGCAGGCCATTGTTATAATGTAAGCATAAGGTGATGAGGGCCAGCATCAGAGTGGTTGCAATGTCAGAGGGGAGAAGAGGGTATATTTGAGAGATGTTGCAAAGGTGAAATCAACAGGCCTTAGCAACAGCTTGGATATGGTGGGGAGGCAGCATGAGAGATAGTAAAGAGTAGAGGATGACTTCTGGGTTTTCAATGTGAGGGAATGGGAGGATGGTGGTGCCCTTAATAGTAATAGCAAAGTTAGGATTGGGGAGTATTTGGGAGGAAAGATAATGAGTTTTGCTTTGGACATGTTGAGTTTAAGAAATCCTGTTGGAGCTATCTAAAAGATACCAGATGTGAGATTGGAGGTCAACTGAGAGGTCAGGGCAGGATGGAAAGATTTGAGAATCATCTGCATAGAGATAGTAATTAAATCCATAGGAGCTGATGAGATCACTAAGTGAAGTAATACAATGGAAGGAGAGAAGAGTTTCTAAGATAAGAGTCCTATGGGAACTCCTATAGTTTGAAGTCATGACCCAGGTGAAGATCCGGTGAAGGAGACTGAAAAGAATAGTCTGAGAGGCAGAAGAACTAGGTTATAGTGGTGTCCCAAAACCTAGAGAGAAAATAATATAAAGGAGAAGAGGATGATCCACAGTGTCAAAACCTGCAGAGAGGGCAAGAAGAAGGAGGACTGAAAAAAGGCCTTTGGAGTTGGCAATTAGGAGATCATTGGTAACTTTGGAGAGAGCAGTTTCAGTGAAATGATGAGCTTAGAACTTGGATTGTAAGGGGTTAAAATGAGCAAGAAGAGAGAAAGTGGAGGCACCGACTGTAGACAACCTTTTCAAGGAGTTTGGCCACAAAGGGCAGAAGAGATATATGATGAGAGTTAGAAGGTATGGAGGGATCAAGTGAGGGTTTTTTGAGGATAAGGGAGACAGGGGCATATTTTTAGGCAGTAGGGAAGGTGACAAAAAACAGGGAATGATTTAAAATAATGTTAGAGTAGTTATGGCTGAAGGGACAATTTATTGGAGGAGATGAGATGGAATGGCGTTGCTTATTCAGGTAGTGGTATTAATGTCGTTAGTGTAGTAGTATAGTTAGCTATAGTGACTGGCCTCAATTTTTTCTGTAAAATATGAGGTGAAGTTCTCCACTGAGTGGGTAGAGGGAAAGGGAGTGGTGTCAGGTTTATAGAGGAACAAAAAAGCTTGTAAGAGGTCCTGTGAAGAGTAGGATGGGGAGTCAATAAGGGAGGTATAGAAGGATTTCCTGGTGGCAGAGAGGACAGTGAGGTTGTGTAACATAAATCTGTGGTGGCCCTTTATCAGAGGACTTACATGGTTTTCTCCACCTACTTTCAGCAACACATATGTATGATGGGAAAGTGATGAATGGTGGGAGTAAGCCAAGGGTGAGGCTTGGCCAGACAGAGGAGAATAGAAAGATGCAAAGTCAGTACAAACTGACTGCATCATGCTCCTCTCTCTTTACTCTCTGCTCATTTTTAGGGCATTCGTTGGGCAATTCAGTTTTATCACATATTACAGATACTAACTCCAGATATAGAAGGGAGTAGAGATGAAAGTAATTTCATTAGTTTACCCAATGTAGCAATATTGAAATAGGAACTAGAACCAGAAATTTTTGTCTCTTAGATTGATTTCCTAACTTCTAGAACAAGCACTTGGGTAAAAAGAAAAAAAGAGTAGATCAAATTAGGAAAATTTAAAAATTAGGTAAAGACATCCATAGATATGATTTCTAGTTCTGAGGAAACTATATGATGGTTAATGATCTGTCAATTTTTTCCTTTGTAAGGGTAGATGAAATTGAGAGTATTGAGAAGATAGAGTATAAGGCAAAAAGGAGCAAGGTGTTCCTGGTTTGTTTTAGAAACATCTCTTGGGGAAAAATACATGTAAACTAAAACAAAAAAGTAAAGTATGCAGTGAAAAGTAAAGAGGAAAAGTTCCATGATAAATAAATCAAAATTAACACCATTACACATTCAAAACATAATTTTTGAAAAGAAGATAATATTGTGAAAATCTTATCTTTTTTGGCTGGCTCACAAAGTCTTCTAAGATCTGCTACTTCCCAAAAATTAGAGGTAGAAAATAAATTAGTCACTGTAGAGGACATATAGAGATTTTGGATTAGTCTTTGTTATTACTGTTGTTGGTTTTCACTAGATTCCTACACATTAATTGCATCATTTTATACCTACGGGTATATTATACACACACACACACACACACACACATACACACACATATATATATATATATATGTGGTCAGCTCTCATTTCCTGATCAATTTCATGTTGCTCAGTTGGAGGCTCTGCCATGAAGGCTTTGGGGGACAGCCCGGTAGAGGTTTCCTGCAGAAACTGAAATGATGAGCTCTCCTGAGACAACATTGTGTGTGTGTGTGTGTGTGTGTGTGTGTGTGTGTGTGTGTGTGTGTGTGTACACACACTTTGTTCTTAGACATCTTCACTATCTCTTATTTTCCCTTATCTGTTTTGGAAATGAGCAACAATGGAGAAAGAAAAGAAACACACTATGAATAGGTGCTTAGTAGATAGCTTAGGGGCAGTGAAGTGGCACAGTGGATAGAGCACCAGGCCTGAAGTCAGGAAGACCTGAATTTAAATCAGGCCTTAGACACAAGCTGTGTAACCCTGTCACTTAACCTTCTTTGCCTCAGTTTCCTTGTATGTAAAACGGGCTGGAGAAGGAAATGGCAAATCACTCCAGTACCTTTGCTAAGAAAACCCCAAAACTGTCATGAAGAGTCAGACAGAACTGAAAAGTTTGCACAACAATTGAACAACAATTGAACAACAAATAGCTTACGGTTGATAATCCACTTGCTAAACTATTGATATTTGGAGATAATCGGGAGGATAGTAAATAATCAACATCTTCCTCGGTTTCATCTAAGGAGTCCTAGTAGGAAGAGAAAAGAGTCAGTACCTAGAAATTTTGTCTTTTTTTTTTTTCACATTTTATCTATCCACTGACCTATCCACCACACATCCATCTACTTCAAAAATGCCTCTTTCCCTAAGAGAGAAAAATATCCAAGGCTGCCCTAGTCCTAACAATTCCTCCAATTCTCTATTTTACTCAGAATATTCTCAACAGTGAAATAGTAGAAGTCAAGGTGAGAAGATTTGGGTTAATCCCTAATTTCTAGGCAGAGAACTAGTCTCATTAATCCTCACATTTTATAAATATTTGATGAACTGATATATGGAATAATTTATTCAGAATTCCTTGAATTCCGAAAGTAGGCCTACAAGTTATAGGTACCAAACAGTTTACAACTCTCAAAGCACCATGAAGCACAAATTACATGAAGACAAAAGTTCTATGTCCTCCACTCCAGATAACTATCCTGTGATCTCATTTGGGAAGACGTAGCTCCCAGACAAGGGAAGAAGAGTGAGAATCTCACATAGGAGTGATTATTTAACTGTGGGTACTATTGTTATTACAGATGACCATCGAGTGCAGGGATTCTTAAACTTTTTCCACTAGCGACCCCTTTTCGAGGTTCACCCCCATTCTTTGGCCTTGAGTGGCCTGAGGGCATGCACAGTGGGATGTGCACATTCTTTGTGTTCAGGACCCAGGCTGCAGTGAAGTTGCCTGATACAGTACGGGCAAGCACTGCCAGAAACACCTTGGATACAGTTTGATTTTTAATTAGTTTTTGGTTGTTGCGCATTCAGAAACCTTTTATTGTTGGCACATTTTCCACGACCCTATGTGGGGTAGCGACCCACAGTTTAAGAAGGGCCGAGTACAACCCCGTTGTTATATAGATGAGGAAATGGAAAGTGAGGCCCAAAGGGGGATAAACTAATCTGAGCTAATCAACCTAATTTCTTCCTATCCTCCAACTCCTTCATCTTCACTTGATGCTCTCTCAGACACTGACTCTATAATCTCACAAAGTGCAGTTAGTATAAACAAGGATGTTGCTACACTTTAAAAATATATATAATGTTTTATTTTCCCTCAAATTACATGTTAAAACAATTTTAAATATTTTTTTAAAGTTTTGAGTTCCAAATTCTGTCCCTCCCTCCTCTTTGCTCTCAATAATATATAATATTAAATATATAATCATAACATCAAAAATATTAGACTTTTTTTGAAAGTAGCATAAGCATATCTTTTTTTCCTGGTGCGATTTACTCCACTCCTAACTTACCAAATCCTTGTCTAAAGCTCCCGGCACAGATTTGCTTCTTATGCTGATGCTGTCCTCTATTTCTTCTGAAAGTGACCCACTCAAATCTAACTCAGACCGACTCCTGTCTGTAGAAAAGACCAGAAGGGAAAGTGAATCTTTGGAAAGTGAGACACATTGTCTCAAAAGATTTGAAGAAGAGTCTATTCTCCTTCAGTATCACAAAAACAAGTCAAGATAAATCATTTAATGCTATTTGTGTTTAAGTACTTCTGCTGCCTGACTCCTGGAAATCACCTTGGGCTGACTCTATTGGAAACGCCCCGATACGTTTGACCCTCTTCAGGTCTCATTGATTCAAATAACCAAGGAGACACAAATATCAGCTCTGTATCAATTCAGTAGGGATAGCTATCACTCTACAGCCTCTTTCTTTAAAAACTCATTTGGGCCCCCAAATTTGGGAAAAGAATGACTATATTCAACAACTATTTATTAAATGCCTCATTGGGTACAAAGCACGGTACTAAGAATGGGTGCAGAAACAAAGATAATTTAGATGCAGTCCCTGCTCAATGCATTTTGAAGGAAAAGGCAAAGGATAAATTTCTACATGGTTGCTTCACACAAAAAGCAACATTGCAGCTAAACGCGGAGTTTCTCTTTCTCTCCCTCCAGGTTCATTTTTTTTTTCAGCATAAAAATCTAAGATAAAGGATGAAATTTGTCTAATTATCTCTGTTAATTCCCTAAAAGAATTCTGGCTTATTCAATTGAAGGAGTTCACAATGTGAAGGGCTGAAATGAGCTTACCATTATAAAGCTAACTGGCCAACTCTACATGCCCGTACACAAGTGTTTTGTTTGGAAATGGTATGACCACTCTGATGGCCTCTGCACTATTGTTTTCCATTTCCAGTTTTGTTTATTGCTATTCCCAGGCTTCAGCATGTGGCTGCATGGAATGGGAATTATATTGTGATGGAAATCATAATCCAGAGAGACAATGGTAAGTTCCTCTGACCTGTAGGGCAAGGTTTAGGAAGTGAGGACCAAAGGGCTAAATTCAGAGGAGGTTTGGGTTTGGAGGGCAGCTGTGATGCAATGGTGTTTGGGGAAAGTGAGAAGTCCATACAGGCATTTTGTAATGCCAATTTAGAAACTAGAGTCTGGGTGTTGTAGGCTGGGATCCAGCAAACCACAATGAGTGTGGATGGAACAGACTGAAGCTATTGGCTGCCATCCCTGGATATTAGCAAAAGGACAGTGAAGGTTTAACTCTCTTCCCACTTTCCCCAAGAGCCTGAGGCTAGAAAGTATTTTCTACATGATTTCTCTTTTTCATTAAACTGTTTCTAATTCCTGATTGTCTTATATAAGCTACAACTGGCCATATGTGATATGTGACTCATGCCAATTAATTATGTATAGAGAGATTAAAATGGAGGAAGATAATGAGTGACTGGAAACACACAGAACTAAATAGTACATAAAGGTTTGAATTTTAATACAAAATAGCTAGGTTTTCTTACTGACTGTCGGGGGCCGGGTACTATAATTGTGAAAGACCCTTATCTTATGCCTTTGATCTCTTTTATTAATAAATCTTATAAGGTCTTAAATGGCAGAGACAACTGGAACATGCGACTTGAGACCATTTACTTTAAGATTATGGAGTCCTGAGTAAGCAAAAAACAGGTGGCTGAAATTTTGAAAGGTGTAGTCCAGAGGAAAGAGCAAGTACTTCTGCCTTTCAATTAGCAATGCTGCTACTACTGAACATAGTGTAGCTGAAAGATCCCTAAAAGATGTAGTAGGTAGCTCATGGATCAGTGGATAGAACATTGGGCCTTGAGTCAGGAAGACCTGAGTTCAAATCTAGCCTTAGATACTTCCTGTGTGACTTCCTAGCTGTGCGGGCAAGTCACTTAACTCTGATTGCCTACCAAAATAGATCCACTGGGGAAGAAAATGGCAAACCACTCCAGTATCTTTTACCAAGAAAACCCCCAAATGGGGCCACGAAGGGTCAAATACGACTAAATTGAACAACAAAAAACTAGTGTCCACCTTAGTTTAGCACAAACAATTTGAAGTTGATTAATTAAAGCGATTAAGAACTTGGTGTTAATGAAATGAAAGTTGTAGGTTTGATTCCTTTATGGATGAATCATCTTCAAGATGCCCCCCGTCCACAGTTGGTAATGACAACCATAGCCTTCCACGTGGACAATGAAAATTGGTCATGACAGAAGTGAACTTAAAAAGTGCTTTGCATCACTGTTTGCAACAGAGCAGAACTACATTAGTATAAAATTTACCACTAGATTGAGGGAAATAACTCAATCTATATGTGATCTCTGCCTCCTCTGACCTCCACAAGTATTTTGTACTTTTATTTTATGTCTGTTACTATAATTATGTGTTCATCTCTTATATCCCCTACTAGATTGTCAGATGGAAGACCTGAACCCAGATCTTCCTTACTTCCAGACTAGCATTCTAATTATTACATCACAATGCCTCTTTTCTTAATTATAGCTACTAATATTTATATAGAGATTTACAGTTTATAAAGCTTACAAGTGTTATAATATTCATTTTATAGATAAACTTATTTGCCCAAAGTCACACAACTAGTCAGAAAATGAACTGGGACTCACATCCAGATCTTTGTGATTTTAAGTCTGCTAACCAATCCTGCCTTGCTGAGGGCAGGAACCACACCTTGTTTTCAATCATCTTCCTCATAGGGTTTTGAACGTAGTAGATATTGACAAACTGTTAATTAACCTTCCCTTTCCCCAGCCACTCCTGAGGAGGAAGAAGAACAGGAGCAACAGCAGACTTCAAGTGAATTTTTAAAAGTAGGAGAGGAAATCATAGTCTCAGAAAAAAAAAACCCAAACTGTAGATAACACAGCCTAAACAGTCGTTACGGGGAGGGAAAGAGTAGATTAATAAATTGGATGAGCAACTAAGATAACACAGAAAACCAACAAATAAAAAACCTTACCAAAGCACAGAAACAGACATACTGAAGATCAAAAAAGAAATAAATAAAATAGAAAACAAAAAATTGTTGAACTGACAAAATGTGGAGATTTTTTGAAAAATATGAATGAAATAGGCAAGCTATTAGATATCAGATAAAAAAGAGCAACACCAAAATGTCGATATAAAAATGAAAAAAGAACTCACAATAAATTACAAGGAAATAAAAATATTATTAGAAGCTATTTTGCTCAACCATATGCTAGCAAAAATCACTTAAATGAAATAGATGAATATTTATAAAAATATTAAATATCTACATTATCAGAAGAAATAAATAATTTAATTAACCCAATATGAGAAAATGAAAATATTGAGCCAGAAATGAACACACAAAAGGGAAGAAAACCCTAAGGCCAAATGGATTTGCAAGTGAATTCAATCAAACATGCAAAGAATAATTAACTCCAATTCTACATTAACAGTTTGTAAAAAACAGGGAAAGAGATAATCCTATCAAATTCCCTCTATGAGACAAATATGGTCCTGTTACTCCAAGTAGAGAGAGAAATAAAGTAAAGAAAAATATACTAATATCTTTTACGAATATTAATACAAACATATTGAATAAAACATTAAGAAAAAGGCTATGACAACAAATAAAAAAGATTATACACTATGGCTATGTTAGATTTATACTACAGTTATAGGGTTGGTTTAATAGTAGAAAGATACAAATATAACAGACTATATTAGTAACAAAACAATTAAATCATATATAGCAACAGACACAGAAAAAGCTTTTTATAAAATACAATGCCTTTTTATGTCAAAAATACTAGAAAGAATAGGAATAAATGGACCTTTGCTTAACATTGTAAATAATATTTATCTAAAACCTAGAGTTGGATCATTTTCAAAGAAGAAACACTAGTGGCCCCTTCAAGATCAGGGTAAAGTAAGGATGTCCACTGTCAATACTACCATTTGATACCATTCTAGAAATAGTAGCTATGGCAATAAGACAAGAAAAATAAATTGAGGGCGCAAAGATTAGGCAAAGAAAATAATTTTTTTTCTTTTGTGGATGACATGATTGTTTATTTACAGAACGCTAGAGATTCAATTAAAAATTAGTAGAAACATTTTTTTTGGCTTTTTTAGGCAATTGGGGTTAAGTGACTTGCCCAAGGTCACACAGCTAGTAAGTGTCAAGTGTTGGGTCTGAGGCCTGATTTGAACTCAGGTCCTCCTGACTTCAGGGCTGGTGCTCTATCCGCTGTGCCACCTAGCTGCCCCAGAAACAATTAACTTTAGTAAAGTAGCATCATATAAACCCACAAAATGATTAGCCTTCCTGTATATTATCAACAAAACTGAATGAAAAAAAACCATTCAAATGTACCAGAGAATGTGTAATATATCTGGAAGTCCACTTAATCAACACACACACACAGTAATTATATTAATATAACTACAAAACATTCATTAAAAATAAAGGAAGAAAAATAATTAGAGAAGAATTAATTTCTTATGGTTCAAGTGGTAATATAGTAAAAATGACAATACCAGCTAAACTAATGTACAGATTTGGTGCCAGACCAATTAAACTACCCAAGAATGACTTTATAGAACAAGAGAAAATCATTACAAAATTTATCAAGGAGAACAAAATTCTTATTCTTATATAAATGGAAATAATGGGGGAAAAAAGTGAGAAAGCAGTTGTACTGCTAAGCCATAATCATCAGAACTATTTGGTATTGATTAAAGAGAAAAGTTGATCAATAGAATATTAGGTACATAAGATCCAGAAGTATCTGAATACAGTAGCATGTTGTTTCCTAAACTCATAGACACTGTCTACTGGGGTAAGGAATCATTCTTGAAAATATTGAAGACAATGATGAAGACAGTGACAATGACGATGAAGGTGAAGAACAAGAAAAAGAAATTATTGTGCTTAGTTCAACAACTCACACAATATTCTATAATTACCTCTAAACAGAAACATGATCTAGATTTAAAAGGTCGTTACATAAATAAATTTGAGGAGAATGGCAGGAGACATGGATAATGGAAGAATTCTTGACCTAACAAGGGAGAGGGCCCACTTGTAGGAGATAAAATAGACAACTTTGATTATATAAAATTGAAAAGGTCTACAGCAGCAACAATAAAATTCAGTTAAAATGAGAAGGGTGACAAGTAAAAAAAATCTTTAGAAGTTTCTCTGATAAAGTTCTCATCCTGTTTCCAATGTATAAAAATGAGATATGTTCTTTAATAAATAAATGGATAAAGGATATAAACACACAATTTTTAAGAGAAGAAATCTCAGCTATCTACAGCCATACCAAAAACAAAAAACAAAACAAAACAAAAAAACCCCAAACTCAAAAAAACCAAAACAACAGCTCCAAATCACCAATAATGAATAAAATGTAAATTAAAACAATCCTGTGGTCCTACCTTGTGCCCATCAGATTGGCAAAGATGATGAAAGAAGAAAATAGTTATTGCTGAAGAGGTTTTGGAAAGACAGGAACATTAATGCTCTCATAGAGGATCAATGAATTGGGCTAACATTTTGAAAAGCAATTTGGAAGTATAACCACAAAGTCATTAACTAAGTAAATTCATGTGATGCCACTTCTAGGCATATAAATCAAAGAAATCAAAGAAAAAGAGGAAGGACTTGGTCAAGTCAAGTGAAGAAGCACTTCATTATTAAGCATTTACTATGTGCCATGCACTGTGCTAAATGCTGGATAAAGAAATACAGAGGGAAAGACAGTCTCTGCAGTTAGGGAGTTTACATTCCAATAAGGGGAAACAACACATAAAAGGAAGCTGAAAAGTGAGGTGGGGTTGGGAGAGAAAGAAGTTCTTGACACTGACAAAGAGCAAATGAGGATTGGAGCCTGGAGAGGAATGGAGACAAGGCTTCTCTGGGCGCTGTAGTAAATAACTAGAAATAAAGTGGATACCCATCAACTGGGGAATGGCTGAATGATTTATGGTACAGGAATTTAAGGGGACATTACTACAGTATAAGAAATGATGAAAGGGACAGATTCAGAGAAACCTGGAAAGACCTTTATGAATTGCTAAAGAAAGAACTGAGTGAAGTGAGTCAAGCCAAGAGTTTTGCACAATGACCAAGACATTGTAAAAAAAAAAACTTGAAAGAATTAAGAACTAAAATCAATGCAAAGATCAATCGTGTATCCAGCAGAATGATGACAAAGCATGCCTCTCACCTATTAGTGGAGAGGTAATGCACTGAGGCACACAATGAAATGTTTTCAGATATGGCCAATAAAACAAAAATTTGTTTTACTTGACTATATTTATTGGTTATGAGGCAAAACTTTTATTTGGCTGGAGAGGGGGGAGTTAGTGTTGCTTCCAGCTCCCCTTCCCAAAAAGAACATCAACGAAACATTTTAGAATACACATTTGATAATTTAATATTTAATTCAATTTTTAATAACTCATTTTAATATTAAATTATATTTTAAAATACAAAAAAAAGACTAGAGTAGAAGGAAGTTGAGAAAGAATCATAGGCAAGTAGGGTAATATTGGTACTACTATATCAAAACCAAGCTTCATTTAACCGATTGATGTTTTCACATGCCATGCTCTTTTTTCTCTTCTCTGAATATGGAAAGTTTATGTTTATTGATGATTTATGAATTCACAATAATTTTTAATAACCAATTGTACAGTGTTTACTATTGTTGTTGTTATTCGGTCATTTCAATCTTCTCTGATTCTTTGTGACCCTATTTGGGGTTTTCTTGGCAACAATACTGGAATAGTTGACTGAGCTTCTCCAGCTCATTTTACAGATGAGGAAACTGAAGCCAACAGGGTCACACATCTAGTAAGTGTCAGAGGCCGGATTTGACCTTGGGTCCTCCTGACTCCAGGACTAACACTCTATCCACTGTGCCACCTAACTGCTCTAGAGTGTCAATTCCCCTTATCAAATAGATGATACCTGGAGATATGCTCATTTGGCAAATACTCACCTGAAGACAGAGAGACCCCAGAGATAGCTATAGAAGGAGTTCCTGAAGCTCTCCTCTGATGCCTCTTTGTTAAACTTTCAGGGATGCTTTCACTGGAAGCCACAACCATGGCATTTTCTAAACCATGATCCTATCCAGAACATTTTAAAAAAGGGATTAAAAATAAGTTAGAAGTGACATTTTGCCTCAAATCACAATGACGTTCTTTAGAGACAATTAAGCTGACCAGGTAGGTACTTTGTGTAAGATTTAGCTCTCCTACTTAAGCAATGTTAGATCTCTACCCTACTCCCCTACTCAGTAAACTCCAACTCTTTTCACCTCCAAGGTCAAATACAAAATCTTCTGTTTGTCATTCAAAGAAAGCCCTTTAAAATCCAGCCATGTCCTTTCAACTTCCTAGTTTTCTTATACCTTCCCTTCCACCCCCTTCATGTATTCTTTGATCCAGTGATACTAGCCTCCTCGCTGTTCCTAAAGCAAGACATTCCATCTCTAGACTGAGCATTTTCTCTGGCTGGGCCTCATGTCTGCAACACTCTCCCTCCTCAACTCTGCCTACTGGCTTCCCTGGCTACCTTTAAGTCCCACCTTCTATGGGAGGAAGACTTTCCCTCATCCCTTAATGTTCGTGCCTTTCCCTCTGATGATTATCTTTCATTAATTTCTATACATAGCTTGTTAGTATTATGTACCAACACCTTACCATGTAGTTTGCATGTTATCTCATTCCACCACCTCCCACTAATGACTGAAGTCTTTTGATGGCATGGAGAAATCTTTTGTCTTTCTTTGTATTCCTAGCTCTTAGCACAATGCCTCACATGTTACTACTGACATGGGGAAAAGTAAAACCTCTCCAAATCCCCCTTTAAAAAAACAATCTAAATCAGGATTTAGTTCCTAAGTATTCTCAACTCTAGATTATCTGCATTAACAGGAGCAGCTGAAACATAATTTTGTTCGGTTTTGAAATGCAGAGAGATATCCCTCCCATCCCCAGCCTGATCCCAAAGCCTCTGCTGCCTTCAGCCTTTCTGTCAAACAGCAGAGGACCCAGGTGGAAATGAAGAGGTAGTGCTGAGGAATGTCATTGGGAATAAACAAAAAGCAACCTCACCTTCATGGAGATTAAGAAAAAACAACAACAACAACAAACAAAATCTGATTACAGGAACAGTTGTGCCCAGTATAGCCAGAGTGCAACAGCATAGCCTGCTGTATGGTTAGTCATGATGGCCTCCACTCACTCTGCTGCTAGCCGAACTCATGGTGCGGGTACTTGGGGCTGGTGACCTCCATGTCCAAGGAAGGGTGCCATTGCCCTGGTTCCCTTTCAGGCTCATGGGATTAGCCTCCTGTTCGCTGATGTCTGGTGAGTCATTTCCCCTGAATAAAAAAAAATAAAAGTAGCAAAGTCCACCATTAATATGGAGGAGGAACAGAAATGGAAAACCTGGCAAGGAAGTGACTTAACAAAATGACTGTCATAATAGCACAGGCTAACTACTGTGAAAGGGAGTTGATCCCACACTAAGGACCCATCAGCCACTACTGAGTCGACATAATCTCTGCTCAAAATCCTTCAATAGCTCTCTATTTCCTACTCCAATAAGATTAAATTCTGTTTTAAACGGGCTCAAGTTCCTCCAAACCAATCTCCTGTTATATGTAGGGGCAGCTGAAGGCACAGCAAAGAAACAGAAGCCATAAAATAAGGATGCATATTGAGAGGACACTCTAGTAAGATCCGCTCTCGTAAGTTTTGTCTGGAGCCCAGCTTACATGTGACTGAGTTCTATTTTTTAAAAAAAAGGCTCGTGAGATGTGCTGGAATTTGATTGTTGCGGGGCCTTACGCGGTAAGAAGTCTAGATTTTATTTAGTGAATGGTTGATTTATCCAGAAATATCTTATGGAGTTACAGGTTTACAAATAAAGATCATTGGTGCCTTCTGTGCTACTTTGCATGGGATGCAATTTTAAAAGACGGAGCAGCTGCCGGAACTGGTGAGGTTAGCTACCTGAAAATTCCCAATGAAACAGAAGTTGTTAGTGTTGTCCTCTATCTTATAAATTAATTTCTCTTTACTGTATAAATTTTGACAAACTTGTCTGTGTACGTGTTTTCCAACCAGTAAGAGTGTAAGCAACTCGAGGGCAGGGACTGTTTCATTCTTGTCTTTGTATTCCAGGCACCTAATGCAGTGCCTCACATATGGTAGATGCTTAATAAATGCTTGCTGAATTAAACCAAAGGTCATACAAGATTCTTTGAAAAGTGTAATGACATAGATAGTTCTGTTCAATGATCCTCAAATTATTAATATCAAGAGAATCACATATTTGAAATGAACTAGGATTTTCCTATTGGGTCTCCCAATGCCCTTATTTACCCACAATGCTACAGGGATCAATATGATCTGTGACCCCTCCAAAGAGACCAACTTAATAATTTACTCAGGGAAACACACACACACACACACACACACACACACACACACACACACATACACACACACATACACACAGAGGATGAATCCTTACTGTCTAGCCTGTCACACATAACTGGATTAATTGTCCATCAAATCAGCCCATGAATTCATATTTTAGACCTGGGATCCATGGATCCCTAAGATGTCCACAGACAGATTCCAGGGGGTCCATGAATTTGGGTGAGAAAAAATTTACCTCTTCATTTGAACATAATTGGATTCCTTTTTAATAATACATTTGATTTTAAACATGTAAGAACACTATTCAAAAAAAGGGTCCCCGGTCCTTACCAGATACTGACGGGGTCGGTGACACACAAAGAAAGTTGAGAACCTTTGTCTCAGAGAGATACTCCAAACAGACAGTGAGTTGGGCCCATAATTGAGTACAAGGAAGAGAGAGGGTAAAACATCCTCAATGCCTCTAAGCTTTTCTCTAACACAGAAACTCAACATCTTAACTCTAGAATCACAGAATTTGAGAACTGGAAGGTACCTTAGTGATGATTTAAGATTATTATTACCAATATTAATAACAATAATAAAATATATAAGTAAATTTTATCATAGTGTTTTTGTTGTCACTTGACCTTCACTTTCATTTAAACTGTCCAAAAGAGGGCAGAACACACAAAGTGAAGAGTTTAGTGTAGGGTTACATTCAACTCAACAGGGATATGAGACTGGTAGAGGGAAGAATCAATTCAGGAAGGGATTAGTCATAAACAAAACAAACCCTAGGCTTGAAGAGGTGATAGTGAAGATTAAAAGGAAAAGAAAATGCAACAACTTGAAATAAACAGAAAGCAAGGAGTACAGAGAATAAAATATATAAGAGAACAGGATGGGGGAAAATAATGATCTATGACAACTATTATTAACTATTATGACAATTATTACATATATATTTCACCAACAGTTCTCTGCATCCATAGATAGTTGTACATACATGATAATTTTAATTTTAAATCTATATTAATATTATTTGTAATACTTAAGATTAGTTAATTAAAATGGATTTTATATCTTTATCATAATAATAATAATTTTAATTTTAAATAACCACTGAGGATATTGTGAGAGATGATCTCTCAGAAGTGAAGCCTCCTCAAAGGGTCATTAGTTCTTGTTAATGGTTCTGGTACTGTTGTTTTGAGTGGCACATGTGTACCAACACTAAGTGAAGACCCCTCAGAATACAAGACCCCCTCCCCTAGCCTTCTCCCTCCCCTACTCTTAGTGTTAGCAGAAATTCCTGAGCCATAAGAGCATCCTGTCTATCTCATCCTCTAGCTAGTTATATGACCCTGGGTAAAAGGCTGCTGAAACTGTGAGGCCCTGAAAAGGGGAACATGCTAACATAATTTCTATACCTCTTTGTTCTCTCTGTCACTGGGGTAGTTTTTACACGAATAGATTGTATACCTGAGGCTCAGTCAATGAGCGGAGGGGAAGGGGGTTAGGGTGGGCTGCTGCCTTAGGGTCTATATAATCTTTTCTTAAAGTGCACTCATACTCTCCGGGCAGCTTAGGCAGCACAGGGGTGGCGGGGGGGGGTGCACTTTCTCGGGAAAATCAATAAAGACATCTCTCCTTTTTGCAAACTTTTGTCAAGACTCTGGTTTTTGACTGAGTAAAACAATGTAAACAATGTGAGATCTCTCAGATGGGCTGACTGTAGCAATGTCTTAGACTGTTGCAAACTCGAGGTTGGTTACACTAACCTGAACAGGCCTAAGTTTCAGGTTCCTAGAAATCACATGATTTGTATTGTTACATCACCATTAGGTAATGGCTAATTACTAAATAAAGATAAATAGCTAGTATTGGTAGTATTATAATGTGGTTTCTTGTTTCTGGGGTAGATTTTCATGTTTTAGATTGTAAGGCTGAAATTCCTGTCCAATGGGAATTCAAAGCCAGTGGTGGGTGGGTATCTCTGTGTTAGGGCTATATAACCTTTGTCCTGGCCTTTGTGCCTTGCCTCATTTCACTCAGACTGCCAGAGGAAGCAGACGCCCGCTTCTTGCGAACGTAATAAATCTTTCACTTTATACCTAGAAAATCTCTGAGTGTTAATTTTGGGCAGCTGTACCACACAATATATACATATAAAAATTTACAATTTTAAAATTAAAATTATTACTAACAATAATAAAAACATAACTAAATTATGTCACAGTGTTTTATATATATATGTATATATATATATATACACAAGTATATGTACTTATATACATATACACATGCACACACACAAATAAAACTGTTCATGGCTCCAGAGAACCATTATTAGCTTGGCAGGACCTGTGTTTGAGGAAGCCACCGTAGAGATTCTATATGGATGCAAATTTTGGAACACAACAATCTAAAAAGAAGGTGGTACTAGGGGTGGTGTGATCGCACAATATGATACGGCATGAAGGCATGGATGAGCTGTGATCTGTACCATTGGACTGAGATTCATATCAATTGTCAACAAGATGGCAGTCCCATTGAAATATTATGTCTCTTCTCTTTTTTCAAAAGAAAGTCAGTTTATTGCCACTGGCAGCAGTAGTTGTGCAAAAATATTCATATATTTTTTTAAATGTTCTGTTTAAATTTGGTGATTTTAAGATACACAAAATTAGGGGTCAGGCCCCTTTAAGAAAACACATAAGCAAGAACCATTGACCAAGGAGGAAAGCTTTTAATTTAGGGGCAAGCAGTGAGGTCAGTTCAGAACCTGAGAGGAGACTATTATTACATTTAGAGGCTCAGGAGCCCAGAGGTAGGAGGATTTAAGTAAAAGATAAGAGTAGTTTGTGCCCTCAAAGTAAAAGAGAGTAGTTAAGAACGTAATTAATACCCCTTGGCTCTTAGCCCAAAACAATAATAACCAGACCTAAGGCCTTTCTTTGGGGACAGCTGGCACAATAACCAGGATCTGAAAGACAAAAAGATGAAGAGTAACCAGGAAGAGAGAGAAAGAGAGAGAGAGGGAGGGAGGGAGGAAGGGGGAGGGAGGGAGAGAGAGACAGAGAGAGACAAAAGGCTTAGTGTAGCCCCTAGGAGTTCTTAACTCAGGGTCAGTGAAGTTGTTTATATATGTATATAATGTATATACATACACACACATACATACATAGATACCATAAGTCGGTATAATTATTGTATTTTTTAAATCTCAGCATTAGACTCTCAGAAGAATAGGTTTCCCTGCCTTCCTTTAAATCTCACCTAAAATCTCATCTTTTACAGGAAGCCTGTCCCAACCCCTCTTAATTCTAGTGCCTGCTTTGTATTATTCCCACTTATCCTATATATGGTTCACTTTGTAAATATTTGTTTGCATACTGACCCCCCCCCCCAATTAGACTGTAAACTCCTTGAGGTGTGAGACTTTTTTTTTGGCATTCGCAATATTTAGCACGGTGCCTTGCACATGGTAGGATATGTTTAATAAATGTTTATTGATTTTATTGATTGGTTGCAGGGATTCATGATATAAAAAAAGGTTAAGAACTTGTGTTTCAGACATAAAGGAAAATAAATGTTTATATAGCTAAACTTATGTATTATAAATTGAGTAGTGATCAGGATAGTTAATTTATACTTGGGAGTTAGTATTCCTTTTTAACCTTGCCTCTACTATGGAATTTTACATTATTTGTAAAAAAAAAAAGTTACTTAGTGTGTGTGCTATTTTCTTTTCTCTTTCTTTTCCCTTTCTCTTCTGTTCCTTTCTTTCCCTTCCCTTCCCCTTTCCCTTCTCTCCCCTTCTTTCCCTTCCCCCTTCCTTCCTTATATCTTCTTTTCTCCTTTTCTTTCCTTTCTTTCTCCTTTTCCTTCTCTTTCTTTTGCTTCCTTTCTCTTCCCCTCTTTCTCTTCTCTCCTTTCTTTTCCTGGTTTT